TGCTGTATTCTTTCACATTTATAAACCAGTATTACCAATATCTCTGCAGACCCCTCATCAATGTTCATTTTTTCCTCTTTTGGGAGCAGGGATACTCTGCTTATTGGTTCAGCTGAGTGATAATAGCCAAAGATGTTATTGCTATTTCTAATTATCTGCTTGAGCCATTTGTTTTTTCCCTCAACCTAGGGTTTAACATACCTATTAATCAGGTTTTCCCGCCAATAGACAAACAACTGGAAGCATACTAGTAACATATCTTTATCTGTTCCTGTGGTCAGCAAAGCTTCTGAGCATAATTCCACATATCTTTGTTCCATAAGAAAAGTGGTATTACAAGACTTCTTGGCTAAGTGCTTTATCTGAATTGTAAGATGTGGATTTGGTAATCACAGTGCAAGATGAGTAAAACAAGTGCTAGTTTCAGTGGTTCAGGGAACTTCATATATGATAAGGATCAGAAACAATACATCTTATAGGGTTTAGATATGTTTGGCCCAGTTGAGCCTTAGATCAAATACATTATTATACTGTAGCCATAGGTATCCTGATAGAAGCCTACTAAACTGCATTGGAAGCTCTTGCTTGAATAGTTGGAATGTCAGAATAACTCCTAATTCTTTCAAGTAGATGACTTACGTCATTGAAACCATGGATCTTTGCCATGGTAATACCATAGACTTCACCACAGTTCTTGCCACCTCTTTTACCAAAAATATTCCTTAGATTAATTGAACATACAGGAAAAAAATAAGCAATATACACAAAAAGTCATTTTGTTCTTTCCATTGCTTGTATTTCAAAAAGGCGGATATAATCTGTAATAGGAGAAGGAGTCATAGTGCTTAAATGTATATTTCTGTTGGCAACTAATTTCTTCCAAGATCAAATATCAAAAGATCAGCAACTAGCTATTTGAAAAACAGGATAGGAGATAATAAGTTCTCGTGGATTTTTTTTAGAAAGCCATTTCAATGTTTTTTGAACATTTAGGTGACACAAAGTCTTCATTATCTAATAATGGCTGATTATTTTTAAAAATTGCTGCTGCTGGGACTGTCCTATTCTTCTCTCATCTATTCAGCAGATAATTTAGCTTCTTTAAACCTGTTTACCTTGTGACCCTTTTCCTGCTCATTCCTCTGCCCTGTCTGAATTTGAATTCAGAGCTTTAGTTAAGTATCCATCTCTAAAAAGGATCCTGCTTTGAAAGTTTGGTATTCAAAAGTTATTTCTAATTTCTTCCGTTGCCGTGTCCATTTTTATTCCTTTATTATCTGTAGAAGGACAAAATACTCATTAACTCATTCTGAGATTAACCGTGTGTTGTGGTTTGCTGACCCGTTTTCATGGGTATAAACATATTTGTTTACATGGCAGCTTGACAGTAAAATTGAAAAAAGCAGTTTTCAAGCAACTATTCACAGGGAAATTACATGCAGCTTTCTTAAAGCACATTACCCCCTCCCCAAGCTCCCTTGGCATTAGGGCACGACTACCATAACGTTCTGTTTACTTGAATTGTACAAATTTGGCTAATGCAACTATTGGCTATAAAAGCCTTTGGAAATGCCTACCTGCTCCCAGTATGCATCACTTTTTAACAGTCTATCGCTAGCTGCCCTCTACCCTCCACTTCTCCTTTGTTGAGGGAGATTCTGAACTTAGTGAATTTTTATTCTAAAGAAAGGAGGGCAGTTGTGGCAAGATGTGTACAGTATAGTAATGTTGCATCTCTATTTAGGGCTGGAGTCACGCCTGCCAGCTCTATTATGTTCTCTACAGCCATTGCTTATAACTATGGTTTAGAACTTTAGACATTGTTGTACTTTTAGCATTTGTGTTTAGGAAGTCAGGTGAATGTGCCCTCCTCCAATTCAGATTTGTAGTTGCTTTTCTGATCCTGGAGGAGATTTTTCCCAAAATGAACTGCCTTCCTTTCCTTAAGGAAAATACATTTACAGAGGGTCCAAAATTTCTTTTTTTCCAGTACTGAAGCAGCTGGAGGAGTTGTTGAGCGACATGAAGGCCGATGTGACGCGGCTACCTGCCACAATTGCCCGCATCCCTCCAGTGGCTGTGCGTCTCCAGATGTCGGAGCGCAACATCCTCAGCCGCTTGGCAAATCGTAGCAGTGAACCTCCTCCTCCACCACCAAACCAGCAGGTAAGCATCAACCCCTGCCATTTCCACCCTACCCTGGAGGGAGGGGGCCCATGGTGAACTCCCTAAGATTGGGGAATGAGCTTTGCATATACTGTACTAAATGTTTCTCTCTCTCTCTTTCCCTCCCCCCACTTTAAACTTAGGTGGCTCAGCAGCAGTGAAATACCCGACTGGTGCCATCAGTCCAGTGATTCAGCTAAAGCGACACGTATACCCTTGTTTCAGTTCTGGCCCCATCCCCATCCCCTCCGTCTGGCACTCCTAATCAGATGATGTTCTCTCAGATGGAGGATATGATTGGAGAAAGGAGGAACTGCAATCTTCCATAAGCTGCCAGTTGCACTTAGATTGCACTTCGGTAAAAAGGAACATTGGATGGACTCTGTATATAGTGACTGGAGGCTGCAGCGTCACATCTGTTACACAGACCTGGCTGCAATGCTCATCACCTTGGCCCACTCTTCCTTGATTTTAATTTTATTTTCAGTTTGTTTACCAAGATGAGTGCAAGCAAACGTCAGGACAGACACAGCTACCTCCATCAAGATCCTTTTAATACAAAAACTGACTGGACTTGTCCTCTGAAACAGCTGGAAAAAAGACAAATCTTGATAAAGTTAAAAATAAAGGTTTCCTTGTATTTTATTTGCTTTGGGCAAAATATATGGGGGATGTAACAGCTTCTTTATTAAAATTTTAATGTGGCTTGTGATCTGATAGAAAAATGTACATGTGCAAACAATACGCACACTTCCAGTTTAGCCCAAAATAGGGAGATTCCAGGCTGTCCTAGATAATTTTTCCAGCTGATAACTTTAAAAGGCTTTGTAAGAGAGAATAAAATGTGCTGCAATGTGCAATTACAGGCAGCACCTACATGACAGTGTCACATTTTGTCTGAATTTATCTAAACTATAGGCTCATTACGCTTTAAATCTGTTCCTTTTATATCACAAATCATGGTTTTGTATCTTGGAATGTCACACAGTGCACACAAGCAACTTAAAAGCTCATTCAGGCAATTTGTGGATCCATGAATTGGGTTACTGACTATAATGGCTGGATTTGTTACTTTATTGCTTAGCACAATGCGTGAACCCAGCCATTGTTACTCTACCCAACAACCTTACATGGGATAGTAAAAAGATTGCAATTAAAAGATAGCGTGGAGCTTTTCTGAGTAAACCCTTGCCAAGCTTCTGTATTGAAAAATGCTTTATTTTCAGAGTGATATTCAGCAAGCCAGAAAAATATGGTTGTTTTTCATTGGGACACAATGCTGACACTTGTTTCTTTCAAAAGCAGCATCTTGCATAAGCAATTGTCATGGGCTCTTGATAATGTTTTAATCTAAGAATTTTTCTATAAAAGACATTCACTTCATGCATCAATTTGCTCTTTGATAGGGCCTACATGATAGTTCTCTGCAAGTATTTTTCTACATAGAAATTGTAGGTAGATGAGCAGCAAGCATCTTTTAGTTATGTCCAATTGACATCAAAAGCTACATGATCAGATTTCATTAGTGCTTCCATAGGCTACCACCAGGAAATATGCCTGTAAGTATATTTGGGATAGTTGCATTGAACGGTAGCATTTTAAAACACTAACAGACATTAATTATGACTGTACCAAATACATAAAATTGCCTTGAGTCTCCAGATACCTGAATTGCAACAGTGTCTTTTGTAGATGCAGCAATGAAAAAAAAAATAGCACAATCCATTTAATTACTTATGCCAGTGTTTCTCAACTTTAGCATAACTAATTCTGGGAGTTGAAAATGCAGGCATCTTAAAAGTTGCCATGGTTGGTAAACACTTGAGTCGTGGCACGCTTCTAATCCTGGGTGCGGGTCTGTTTTGTGTCTCAATACACTTCTTTTGAGAAATCATGTTCCAAGTCCAGTTGGCAGGTAAAAGACCCAAGAAAGGATACCTAATACACATTGCGCTTTTTAATGGGGAAACATTTCATTTCCAATATGAAGAGAACCCTTCAGATTGTAAAAGCACTCCTGGGAATAAGCGTGTTTTTGGCTTTTCATCTGAAAAGGGGGAAACTTAACTGCAAGCTACTGAATTTCACCGTCTAAGAGAATTGGCAGAATTACGTGGAAGTCAAGAGGCTGCAGGAAGATTCGGCGTCTTTTCCTGTGGTGGAGCAGAGAAGCTCCTCTCCCAAACTGGGAGGGTGGCATCGAAAGTTAGCAGCTCTTTTGGGGAATTGGTTTCGCCAAAAATAAAAGTAAGTTTTCCTCATGAAATAGACCAGGGGTCTCCAACCCTGGCAACTTTAAGACTTTTGGACTTCAACTCCCAGAATTCTATGCTGGCTGGAGAATTCTGGGAGTTGAAGTCCACAAGTCTGAAAGTTGCCAAGTTTGGAGACCTCTGCACCAAGGTATTCGCACTCACTATCTATGAATCCAACGAAAGCGGCAACTTAACTAACCAATCACAAGGCCGTAGAAGTAAGCGGAGGTGGGGAAGAAAGGAACGGCCAATGAGATTTGTCCGAAAACGGAAGGAAGTCGGGATGTTCACGGAGGGGCGGGCGGAGCTCACCCACGTGTCCCACTCCACGCCAAAGCGGAGGCCTTCTAAGCCATGGGGCGCAAGTTGGACCCGAACCGGCAGGCAAAGCGCGGGCCAGGTCGGAAGGCCCGCAAGCAACGTGGGGCGGAGGAGGAGCTCGCCCGCTTTTTGCCGCCCGGTAAGTCACTCTGCCAGAATTTCGTGTGGTGGACAACGTAGGCATTAACAGAGTTGGAAGGGACCTTGTAGGTCATCTAGTCCAACCCCCCCTCCCCCCGCCCAAGTAGGAGACCCTATACCATTTCTGACAGGAGGCAGTCCAATCTCTTCTTGAAGGCTTCCAGTGATGAAGCTCCCACAACTTCCGAGGGCAAGCTGTTCCATTGGTTGATTGCTCTCACTGTCAGAAAGTTTCTCCTTGTTTCCAGGTTAAATCTGTCCTTGTTCAGTTTCCATCCATTATTCTTTGTCTGGCCTTCTGGTGCTTTAGAAAATAGCTTGACCCCTTCCTCTCTGTGGCAGCCTCTCAAATATTGGAAGAC